TTTTTTGGGAAAATACTTTACAAAAATGTTTGGAAGAAAAATGTTAAATAAATCTTCTCATGATGAATGCTAATAATTTTTTCAAACTGTATACAAAATGGGAATCATTGTATTGAAAAGTTAAATTGTCATGAAAATTAACAATAATTAGAATGTATATAGGATAAATAAGAAAGAGCTAGCAATTATTATTAGGGTAAATGTTACTCTAAAAGTTGTGATTAAGCCCCAGATATAGTGAGATCAATAATATTACGCTAATTATTTGAAAATGAGATTGAAGAATGTGTGCCTAAAAAAAATGGTGGTTTCAAAAATAAACCAATATTTTGTAATTAATTAGAAACCTAAGACGCTTGTCAAACAATTAATTATCTCTCTGACATTTACATTTGGAATTAAACCTAATAATTTGTAAAATAAAAAAATGTTCTTGTGCCCCTTTAACTTTTGATCATATAATTTAAAAATTGGTTAAATGATTATGAATGTATTAGTATATTAGAAGTTGGTTGTGTTGATAATTTCGACAATTGCAATAAAATAAAAAATTTGAAAAGTTGTATAAAAATAAAAATAATAAAAATTATATGATTGAAAAAGATGAATGTTTTGAAGAAGAATGTCTATCGTTAAATTTTCCTAAATACGATACAGATTTAAAATGTTCAGAAAGAATGAATATATGTAAATTCAATTATTAGACCTAAAGTTGTATAAATACAGAATGCCAAAATTTCTCCGAATTGAAATGTGATTAAGATTTTTAAATGAATAAATTTTTAATCTCTAGGGGTTGCATTCATAAAAGATGTGAATCAGCTTCTTTGTTATATAATTCTTATGAAGATTGTTAAAACTGGGATATTAGATGTACAATAAATGATATAATAATCACAAGTATCTAATAAGTCTAAGGATGCATAATTAAATATCTTGAATGTAGTAAATTTTCTTATTAATAATAATTTACATCATAAATAAGATATTCCATGTTTTTGGAATATACAAACAAAAGAATGTGAATTTTAAACCTGCTAAAATGTTCTACTCTTATTTACTTCAAGAGAATAATTTTAAGAATGGCTAAAATATCATAATTAGAAATGCTTGAATAAGTAGAGGGGTAGAGGCATTGAGCAATTCGCTTCGTGTTAAAAATTAAGTGATGAGCTACAATGATATAATAATAAAGACCATTTTGGAATGTAGATAATGGCTATCTTCATGCAAGTTAAAGAAGTCTGAATTTGAATGTAAAATTGATACTGGAAATGATTTGTGCACTGACGCACCTGAAACAGAATAATTTAAAAGTCATTAGGAATGTTAAGCTTGGAATTTTAAATGTACTTTAAAATTAGAGTCAAGTTGTGCAAACTAATTCAATTGTTAAGACTATTTAAAA